AAGAATTGAATTACTTTTAATCGAAAGCTTATCGAATTAGGTTTAAAAAATCCTGAAAATCAAATTCACATTTTGCAAAGTATAGAAAATATCTTCCATTTCTGCACGTCGGGGCCATTAAAAATATGCCTTTTTCATTAAGCGAAAAAAAAATAGACGATCTTTTTCAACTGCATTTTAAGTCAATTTTTGCCGCATGACCATGTATATGTTTTTGTTTGTAATGTAACGCTGGCATTTCTAGTAACAGGAACTGCTACCCGTTTTCCCTAGTTTGTGTAGTCTTCAAGAAAGAAAATACAGAACACCACTGGTACCCTATTGAAAATGCATAACGAATAATTGCGCTCTTGTAACCTATCGGAAAATGACATTTTTTTAATAAGGCTTTGAAAAATGTTAAAAATAGTCACTTTGCTTGGAAAAAATGCGAAACGGTAATTTATGGGGTCAAATGGACTTTTCATCAATGTGGATTCAAGCTATAGTCTGTTTCCTATTTGTATAGATTTCCATATTTGAAACTGGAAATGGGCTCGAATGTCGACACAGTATAAAGAGAATAGAAGGTTTTTTGTGATATCTACTGTTTTTTATTGGGAAAAGCATGTATATATCTTGAATTTGGAGATACATTTTGGTTTTTTAACATAATGATCGTGACTCAGTTGCTATTCTAGCAAAAAGCAAATTTGGTAAAAATTGGCAAAAAGTGCCCCAAAGCAAACACCAACGATTTAGTTAAATTACAAAGTAGAAACATTAATCTTGGCATTGAATATTGTAGTTCAAGAATATTTGTTCTTGCCAAAGTAGTAATATTAACATATATTCGAAATTCAAAAAAAACTATAGTCTGTTTCAAAAACGTATTTTTTCAAGAAATGATTTTATTTAAAGCAATTCTTCAAAATTCTATGTAGCTTTTCCTTATCAGAATGGATTTGTCGGCAATATGATCAGTGCTGGATGACCTTTGAAAAATTAGCGCAGTAAATAAACATTATCTTCATGTCTTTTTGAACAGTAACGTATTTGGTCAAAAAATCAGTTCAAATTTTTGGACTGATCGACGGGCAATAATTAATTCTCCAAATTCAGAGAGTGATTAGATAATGTTTTGAAGATTTGATATGAGCTAGATAGACGCTAGCGCTTCATTTGGCCTGGGTGCTTAATTTTAGAAAATTTTTCGTATTACCGTATAGGGTACAAGAGCGAAATTATTTGTTAACATTTAGGTTACAAGAGCGCAATTATTTGTTTACATTTTACCGGCAAGGTTTTTACCCCAAAATGGTACTCAGAATAGAATCCTGTACTGCTTCCGATTGGATGATAAAGAATTGAATTACTTTTAATCGAAAGCTTATCGAATTAGGTTTAAAAAATCCTGAAAATCAAATTCACATTTTGCAAAGTATAGAAAATATCTTCCATTTCTGCACGTCGGGGCCATTAAAAATATGCCTTTTTCATTAAGCGAAAAAAAAATAGACGATCTTTTTCAACTGCATTTTAAGTCAATTTTTGCCGCATGACCATGTATATGTTTTTGTTTGTAATGTAACGCTGGCATTTCTAGTAACAGGAACTGCTACCCGTTTTCCCTAGTTTGTGTAGTCTTCAAGAAAGAAAATACAGAACACCACTGGTACCCTATTGAAAATGCATAACGAATAATTGCGCTCTTGTAACCTATCGGAAAATGACATTTTTTTAATAAGGCTTTGAAAAATGTTAAAAATAGTCACTTTGCTTGGAAAAAATGCGAAACGGTAATTTATGGGGTCAAATGGACTTTTCATCAATGTGGATTCAAGCTATAGTCTGTTTCCTATTTGTATAGATTTCCATATTTGAAACTGGAAATAGGCTCGAATGTCGACACAGTATAAAGAGAATAGAACGTTTTTGTGATATCTACTGTTTTTATTGGGAAAAGCATGTATATATCATGAATTTGGTTTTTAAACATAATGATCGTGACTCAGCTGCTATTCTAGCAAAAAGCAAATTTGGTGAAAATTGGCAAAAAGTGCCCATAAGCAAACACCAACGATTTAGTTAAATTGCAAAGTAGAAAAATTAATCTTGGCATTGAATATTGTAGTTCAAGAATATTTTTTCTTGCCAAAGTAGTAATATAAACATATGTTCGAAATATTTAAAAAAAACTATAGTCTGTTTCAAAAACGTATTTTTTCAAGAAATGATTTCATTTAAAGCCATTCTTCAAAATTCTATGTAGCTTTTCCATATCAGAATGGTTTTGTCGGCAATATGATCATTGCTGGATGACCTTTGAAAAATTAGCGCAGTAAATAAACATTATCTTCATGTCTTTTTGAACAGTAACGTATTTGGTCAAAAAATCAGTTCAAATTTTGGACTGATCGACGGGCAATAAATAATTCTCCAAATTCAGAGAGTGATTAGATAATGTTTTGAAGATTTGATATGAGCTAGATAGACGCTAGCGCTTCATTTGGCCCGGGTGCTTAATTTTAGAAAAATTTTCGTATTACCGTATAGGGTACAAGAGCGAAATTATTTGTTAACATTAAGGTTACAAGAGCGCAATTATTTGTTTCCATTTTACCGGCAAGGTTTTTACCCCAAAATGGTACTCGGAATAGAATCCTGTACGGCTTTTGATTGGATGATACAGAATTGAATTACTTTTAATCGAAAGCTTATCGAATTAGGTTGAAAAAAATACAGAAAATCAAATTCACATTTTGCAAAGTATAGAAAATATTTTCCATTTCTGCACGTCGGGGCCATTAAAAATATGCCTTTTTTCATTAAGCGAAAAAAATAGACGATCTTTTTCAACTGCATTTTAAGTCAATTTTTGCCGCATGACCATATATATTTTTTTGGTTGTAATGCAACACTGCTAGTCTAGAAACAGGAACTGCTACCCGTTTTTCCCTAGTTTGTGTAGCCTTCGAGAAAAAAAAATATACGGAACACCACTGGTACCCTATGGAAAATGCATAACGAATAATTGCGCTCTTGTAACCTATAGGAAAATGATATTTTTTTTTTAATGAGGCTTTGAAAAATGTTAAAAATAGTCATTGTGCTTGGAATAATGCGAAACGGTAATTTATGGGGTCAAATGGACTTTTCATCAACGTGCATTCAAGCAATAGTCTGTTTCCCATTTGTATAGATTTCCATATTTGAAACTAGGATGGGCTTGAATGTCGACACAGTATAAAGAGAATAGTACGTTTTTGTGATATCTACTGTTTTTATTGGGAAAAGCATGTATATATCTTGAATTTGGAGATAAATTTTGGTTTTTAAACAAAATGATCGTGACTCAGATGCTAATCTAGCAAAAAGCAAATTTGGAGAAAATTGGCAAAAAATGCCCATAAGCAAACACCAACGATTTAGTTAAATTGCAAAGTAGAAAAATTAATCTTGGCATTGAATATTGTAGTTCAAGAATATTTTTTCTTGCCAAAGTAGTAATATTATCATATATTCGAAATATTTAAAAAAGTATAGTCTGTTTCAAAAACGTATTTTTTTCAAGAAAGGATTTCATTTAAAGCCATTCTTCAAAATTCTATGTAGCTTTCCCATATCAGAACGGTTTTTTTCGGCAATATGATCAGTGCTGAATGACCTTTAAAAAATTAGGACAGTAAATAAACATTATCTTCATGTCTTTTTGAACAGTACTGTATTTGGTCAAAATATCAGTTCAATTTTTTGGACTTGATCGACGGGCTATTAATAATTCTCCAAATTCAGAGAGTGATCAGATAATGTTTTAAAGATGTGATATTAGCTAGATAGACGCTAGCGCTTCATTTGGCCCGGGCGCTGAATTTTAAATTTTTTTTCGCATTCCCGTATAGGTTACAAGAGCGGAACTATTTGTTTACATTTAGGCTACAAGAGCGCAATTATTTGTTTACATTTAACCGACAAGGTTTTTAACCCAAGATGGTACTCAGAATAAAATCCTGTACGGCTTCTGATTACATGATACAGAATTGAAATTACTTTTAATCGAAATCTTATCCAATTAGGTTTAAAAAATCCTGAAAATCAAATTCACATTTTGCAAAGTATAGAAAATATCTTCCATTTCTACACATCAGGGCCATTAATGGAGATACTAGTAAATAGATTTGACAAATATCTTAAACACTTACGAAAGTGATTTTAGAGACATATATATACACAATCTTTGGTGATTTTAAATGCATCTGTTAAAAAAATATTGACATCTGATTAGTTTCAGATTCAATCATCAACCTTGTCTTGTATTTCACCTAAATTTCTCGACCTCATGCAATATCACGAAGCTTCAAATAGTGTCCTATCCCAGCGACTCATCCCTTCCACATATTACATAATAAGTGCTCCCACATTGGGCTGAGTTGGATGTTGTCTAGATCTACCTAGCTAGCTCTTCCTAGCAAGATAGCAGACGTTGGAGAACAGAAGACTAAAAAATCTATCTAAAAGGGAATATAAGAAGAACAAAAAACTACTCTCAGACGATAAATGCAATTATACATGTATGCTAACATATTTTAAGCAATGTTTAATTTCTATGAATGATTTTAAAGGAGATGTGAAGTATACATAATTTATTTAGACAGCAACCCAATTAAGCAACAAACAAAACGCGACAATTTACTTCTAAAGTTCAATCTACGGTCTTCCTCAATGGACATGTCATTACAACATTTTAAAGTTTATTATCCTCCCAAGTCTAACTATAATATATAGAATAGTTGTGAATATGTGAGCCAAAATTTGTTCCTTTGAAAAAAGTTCCAGTGGAACAAATATCACAGGAAATATATTCTGGGAGAACTTTTTTCACAGATAATTTCTATATGATTTGTTCCATGATCTCCATAAAATAAGTTACACAATTTACCCGGTGAAATAAGTTCTGAGTTTTTGAAATTTGTTCCTAACCTAGTGAAATAAGTTCCGGGTTTGGGAGATTTGTTCCTTACCTGGTGAAATAAGTTCCTTGTCTGTGAACTATGTTCCACTGGTTATACAAGTTATCTTTTATACTGAGCATTGGTATCAGTGAGTTTAAAGTTATAGTTCAAGTACATTATAAAAACATGTATTATATTGATAATGTAATAAATAAAAGGTGTTAACATCCAATATGGATTCTGTGGAGTATAGCAAAATGTTTAATTACATTATCCATAAAAAAAACCCAAATGACAATAATTTAATTAGGCAGAAAAGCGAAGAATAAGAAAAATCCATCAGAAAATTTGTATAGATCAAACATTTATTTATGATATTGCAATTCAACATATGTTACTTCATATCAGAATTTGTAGAAAAATGAAATAGTGTGTTTTAAATATTTATCACAGTTGTTAATCATAGTTGTGCATCTGTTTCTTAATCATATTATCTACATACAAATTACCTAATTTGAATTTCTAAAAGATTTACCTTATTTTGAATGTGTTCGTGTTGTTTAAAGACTTCAATGTTGAGTATCAAATTTGTCAGGTACAACTATAGATTTTTTTGCTTGATATAAAGTTAATGCAAAATGTTAATCTATCCCTGCAGGCACACTTTGTTGAATCAACGTTGAATCTTTGTTAATTTTAGGTTATACGTTGATCAACAAATATTCAAAATTGATTCAACCTTGAATTAACATTGTGTTGAAATACCAACATTGAATCAACTTTGGCTAAACAATATATAAAACCCAGTTGTGGATACCAGAATTGTCAAATAAAGTATTGGGCACATCACAATTATTTTTAAATTGACAACGATATTCACATAAAATAGAATATTCAGTAGATTTATCCCTCATTGTTGTGGTGATTATAGAATTATATATAAAACACTGAATCGCAGTGTATATATCAGCATAAACTAATCATGAACTTTGCACCCCAAATAATAGAAATTCCCAACCCAACCTAATACATAATAATAGAACCAGCTTGCATATAGGATCATACAGTAAATATAAAAATTTGTGAACAACCCCTTCCCCTATAAATATGCCCCCTTTTTCCTTGGCTGCTGATGTCAAATATCTTGTTAACATTCCTTTTTTTCTTTTCTATTCTTTTTATCAATATAAAGAGAAAAACGTATACATCAGTACAAACACAATGGTTGATAGATCTATTGGAATAGTGGTTTTAATTCTCGCGGCATTTTTAACATTTATATTTTAAGACAAATTCAGATATGCGCATGCGCAGTTGTTTCTCTTGCCAAAGTATCCGCTTTGGAGACCACTAGGTGGTTCTACAGAGTTTTTATCAGTATCTTTCCTGTATACAGCTTTTACATTTTTATCGTAAGTATTTATAAATTGTTGTGATTACAGTAAATACAGTATCGTATTTTAGAAATGTGAGCATATCATGTTGTTATGAAAACTGTACTGAAAAGTTGAAAATTTACGAGGAAAAGGGGGATGTGTACCATGTTACCATTCCCAATTTACCTTGCAACGTCTCATGAATTTTTATCATTGCATTTGACTATTTGAATTCATCATATGATTGAATCAAAAGTGAAAAGAGATTTTATCGTTATTTATCTAAAATTATCTGTTCAATTCAGTTACACGAAATCTCAAAAAAAGGGGGGCTTGTTTACAAAATTGGGATGAAAAGTCAGAAGCTATATGGCTCACCAAGTTGGACCTTTAATATTTAACTGTCAAAATTGAAGTAGTGTTTTGACAAGGTAATCAAAGATAAAGAGTTATTTCCCAGCAAACACAAAAACATCTTTCTAATGTTATTAAAATGTTGTGTCTAATGTCATGAAAATATCACAAAAAAACGTGAGAAAAACATAAAATGTATGGTTGAATATATATCGCTAAAACGTTTTCTAATATATTTTCTAAAATATTTGCATAATATAGTTAAAATGTTGTCAAGAAATATCATGATAATGTGAAAACCAATGGCGTATAAAAGATTTTGATAATCTTTTAAAAAATATTTTCTAGAAATATTTTCTGAACGTTTGAAAAACATCATGAACATCAAATAATGTTATAAAAATGTTTTTGGGATGTTTCCTTTCAAGTGAGACTGTGCCTAAAAAAATGTTTTCAAAATGTTTTAAGAAGATGTGTTTGGTTGATATCTAGATCATATCAATATAAAAATTTCTGTACTTTTGATTGAGTTTCCTACTTTTTTGAATAACAAATCATTAGTTTAATTTATACACAGTGATTTATTCTATATACAAACAAGAATAAATCAGTTGTTTTGCTAAGCATATGAAAATTCACAATTCAAAGTATCGAAAAACAAGAAGTATTTACAAATTTTGACACATCCCAAATGGCAGACACAACACATCATGGTCAAGCAACTTACCAAATATGAAGTCATTCTGTTCAGCAGTACTAATAAAAGTAATGAAAAATTTGAGAACATTCAACATTTTGAAATACAATGTATAAGCAAACAGGACACAGGTGCCAGATACAAAAATGTTCCCACATCACAGTTCATCACTATCAAGCAGCTCAACAAATATGAACTCATCTTGATCAGCAGTTTTGGGAAAAACAGTAATGAAAATATTTGTTGGACAGACGACAGACAGTGCAAGAAAGCCCACATTCCTACCATAATGGTATAATGTTTAGTTTTTCATTCTCAAATTTTATTACCTATCGTATACACATCATGCATATGTCAACCTGAACATGCATGACATATTTGCCATTGGACATTATGCAAACATTATACACATTTTTAAGATGAAGTTACATAGACTAAAACTTGTGTCCCAAATTTAGATTTTTCAATATAACTTCTCTTTCTAAACTCAAACGTAACACTTCTAATAGGATTACATCTTAAGTCAATAATTATTGATAGTTGGCTTAAGAGATGAGAACAAAACACCATTTTACATCAACTATTTGATTTATTTAAGAATACATTGAAAAAGTCAATTAATTGTCATATTCAAAATCACTTGGAATGTCTTGTAGTATCTTATATCTTTTTCTTGCTGTGCCATGCGTCTGAAAAAAAAATTAATCTTACATTCATATATAAACTTCTTGCACATTCCCTTATTAGAGAACGATCCACGTTGTCTGAAAGATATACATCCCCTCCCCTTTAAAGTTTTAACAAATAACGATGATAGTCTGTCAGAAGGGGACGATAAATGGCTGACCGTGTTAAGAGAGAGCAATATGCCACGCTGAACTTCATTCAGTTATAAGAAAAAACACATAAAAAACTTTAGACTAGATATGTGTCCAGTCAAGAGTTTTATTTCATTATACTCTTTGATTGTTGTCTATCATATTTTTTTTTTATTGTTTTGTAAAAATCTGGCTGTTCTTTTCTTGGTTTTTTTTAGTTCTAATTAAATACATTGTATCATGTAGGGGCCTTTAAAATACCTACTACATTAAACACCTTATTGTCCTTTTTAAGTGTTAAACTCTGTACAGTGACATAGTTTATAATTTGTCATTTGTATCTAAGGGCATATGATACAGTCCTATAGGCACATACATAACTTATTGAAGTGTTACGCATTGTTTTCGCAAGATGATAATAACTTAACTTCCGAGAAACACACAGATGTCATCAAATGAGTTGTTTAAATGTATTTGAAATACTTCAAAGGAAAGCAAATATGTTGTTTATGAAAGCACACTGTTGGACTAAAAGATTGATTTAAATAAACAACTTGTTTCTGTTTTGTCACAAAAATAATAATTTATTCAAATATCCAGATATCTTTTCTGTATTGTATGCCCTTAATCTTGCATGTAATGTATTGTTTATGCTAAATATTTGAATTAAATATGGAATAACAGTAATTCTGTATGAAAATCTTACTTCAAAAAAAAATTTCTCCTGAAAGGTTGTAGACATTCCAAAGAACCTGTGCCACTTCCAAATTGTAACCTGCATATTGAACTTGTCCTTTATGGCTTTTCTTTTATCTCCTGTTATAAAAATAAAAGATACATTGTATGTACATTGTGTGTATGAATCAATAAATATAACTTTAAGCAACAGTTTATATCATCTTGCTTGTACTGAAGTCTTACAGTCTTTGTAATGTTCATTAAGCTGTTAAGGGAAATTTAATTTACTGTTTTGCAAATACATACATACACTGATTTTACTAGAAAAAAAAATCTCCATATTCACATGGTGCTTATATTAGTGTTATTGTAACTTGTTTGTGTGCCTTGGAACAAGGTATTGAGTCATGCTTATTGCATACCTGCCAAGTTTTCAAAATCTCCATGGGGGATTTCAAGTCAAGACCGAGATGACTAAATGCTTCTCTTATATTGTCATAAGACTTTCTAATCTGCTACTATATTGTTTGAATCAGTATGCATGTGCTTAAATCCCCTTTCAACTCATTTGAATGCCTGTTTTCAGGTGTTAAATTTGTATAATAACGAATTTCAAAATTCAGGTCAACACCTCTCATGGGGGAAATCCCCCATAAAGAGTGAAGGTTGGCAGGTCTGTTATTGCAATAGTTGTTGTTGGTTTAAGTCTGTCACATTTGTTTTTCATAATGTGTATTTAATGTAGGCGGTTAGTTGTTTTGTTTCAATTGTGTTGAGAAAAATTAAACATTTGTTTGTCAAGGTTTTTTAAAGTGGACTATATGGTATGGGTTTTCTCAGTGTTGAAAGCCGTACAGTGACCTATAATTTCTTTTATCCAAGTCATTTGAATTCTGGTGGATAGCTGTCTCATACACCTTATCGCTATTTCAGTATTTGGAAATCTATCCCGCTTGAACTTTTTACGTCAGCATACGTCATACAATAATACACCTTATCGCTATTTCCGCTTGACCCGAGAATCTATCCTGCTTGAACTTTTGACGTCAAACAACAATCACTTTTCCATTGTGGCGTCAGATATTTTTTATTATGACGTCAAAATTTTACGGGAACTTGTGACAGTTGTGTGATGTCCAGTAATGGCGGACAAATAGCGATAAAGTGTATTACTTTCCATTGTGGTGTCAAATATTTTCTATTATGACGTCAACATTTTACGGGAACTTTTGTGGTGTCAA